CATTTTACTGTCTTTCTTATTCCCATCCCCTTCCTTTCCCTTCATTCCCCTTTGTTTAATCCAATGAACTTCTATTCTTCAATCCTCAGCTCTTTATTGTATGTTAGCATCCACATATCAGAAAGAACATTCAGCCTTTGTTTTGGGGGGGATTGGCTTATTTCACTTAGCATGATAGTCTCCAGTTCCATCCATTTACCAACAAATGCCATAATTTCACTCTTCTTTATGGCCGAGATAGTATTCCATTTTGTATATACACCACATTTTTTGTATCCTTTCGTCTGTTGAAGGGCACCTAGGTTGGTTCCATAGTTTGGCTATTATGAATTGAGTTGTTATAAACATTGATGTGGCTGTGTCAGTGTAGTATGCTGATTTTCAGTCCTTTGGATATATGCCTAGGAATGTGATAACTGGGTCAAATGGTGATTCCATTCCATATGTTTTAAGGCATCTCCACATTGCTTTCCATAGTGGTTGCACCAATGAATTTTTTTTTTTAACTAAAGATAAATCAAATTTTTCATTATGGAAACTTAGACCAGTGATTACCTGCTTTCTGAACCCATTTGAAATCCAGGCAATGACTGTGGAATTTAATGGGACCTGGTAGAGCATGTAAGTTAAGTGTTCATTTTGGAGTCAGTGATTGGCCTAATGACTCAATGACTAAAGGAACCACTAGCTGTGTCACTCAAATTTCACAGGCTTCAGTTTCACTGCAAATGAGAGTCATGAAGTCTCTCTTACAGTGTTATCCTAAGTATGATAGGTCATAATATATGATAATCATGGCATATGAAATTCATGGCATAGCACTTGGGACACAGTAGTATATAAGATGATTGATATTTTTTACATTATAAGTAATATTAATGTTGAATTGGGAGAGCAATAGGCAACACTAAAAAATCTCCTGGTCCCAAAATTCTTGTCCTTCTGTGGGTAGACAATTATCTAGAAATGTACTCAATCACACACACACTGCACACCACCACCACCTCTACCCCCAAACTGCTTAATTACTTTGGGCTTTTGATATAGATTCTGAAGCCAGACTGCCTGGGTTCAGATTTTGTCTCTAACAATATCTCTACAAACCAGGGAAATTTATTAACTGCACTATGCATACTCCTCATCTGTAGAATAAGGATAATAATAGTACCTTTCTCATACATGACTTGAGAATTAAATGAATCAATGTATGTACAGTACTGAAATAGATCCTATTATACAGCGAATCCTTGGTAAATATTAAATATTCTATGCCAATTGTTAGCTCCATATTACACATCAAGTATGCTACATAAAAATACTTTGTTCTTTGAAGTTTCCCATAATTCAAATCATATACATCAATAAAAGATACACTTAACATATAAATTATTATCCTTACAATGAATGCACATTTCTATGTTTTAACCAAACAAACAAACAAAAAGAAAAAAAAAACAGTATGGGGAAAATTTCAAATATGCCTACATGCAAAAGCATATTTCAGGACATCCCCTCAAAAAATATCAAAATCTGTGAATGTTCAAATATCTCATATAAAATGGCATAGTACTTGCATGTAATATATGTACATTCTCCTTTCTACTTTCAATCAGTTCTAGATTGAAAGACAATCAATCAATCAGATGATACCTAATACAATGTAAATGCTATGTGAGTATTTACTACACTATATCATTTAGTGAATAATAACAAGAAAAAAAAAAGCCTGTGCATGTTCAGTATATTTGCAATTTTTAAAGTATTTTTCCATCCTCAATTGGTTGAATTTATTTGTGTGCAACTTATGGATGGGGAGTTCTGACCAACAAGATTATGAACTTTTAAGGTAATAAATGTAATAATGCATACGGCCAATTCCCTTTCCCTCTACTGTTTAACATTTGAACTCTATTAATTCCTTATTTCTGAACAAGTTTGCTCCTTATTGCATAAGCATGTTGGAAACATTGGAAGCAGCCATTTAATTTTACTTTCAACATTATTTCTTGATGCTGAAATATTAATTATTTTTGAGGATCATCTCTTTTTTAGCAATGATATTCAATAATGGTACTAGAGTTTCTTCATGAGGGGTGCCATGAAGCTCTGTTAAAAATCTCTCTTACATTATTTGATTTTTAAAAAATGTGGTCAAATATACATAGCATAAAATTTACCATCTTTACCTTTTTGAAGTTTTAAATATATTCACCCTAGTTGTGCAACTAGTCTCCAGAAAACTTTTCATCTTGCAAAACTGAAACCCTATAGCCATTAAACAACAACTTCCCTTTCCTCTCACCCCCAGACCCAGCAGGCATTATTCTGTTCTATCTCTGTTAAGTTGACTACTCTAGGTACCTCATGTAAATGTAATCATACACTGTCCTTTTTTGACTAGTATTTCACTTAGTATGATATGCTAAAGGTTCATCCATGTTGCAGCATGTGATAGGATCTCCTTCCTTCTTAAAAATGAATAGTACTCCATTGTATGTCTGTATCATGTTTTGTTTATCCATTTATCTGTCCATGGAAAATTACTATTGTAAATAATGATGCTATGAACATAGGATACAAATATCTCTTAGAGACCCTGCTTTCATTTCTTTTGAGTATTGCTTGGTTTAGAGGTAATTTATCCCTGCACAACTCATGTTGAAGCTTGGTACTCAATGTAATTGTAATGGTTACTTGGAAATGTCAACTTGATTGGATTAAGAGATCCCCATGATTGAGGTTTCTGGGTGTGTCAATGAAGGCGCATCTAGGAATGACTGGCATGTGGGATATCTTACTGAAGTGGAGACCCTCCCCAAGCGTGGACAGCACCATCCAACAGGTTGGAGGCTTGGATGGAATAAAAGTAGAAAGAACAAGGAAGTAGCAGCAGATTCAAGCTCCATTCTTCTTGAATAATTGCTACTGCGATCACCTGAGGACATCACCCCTTACTGTCTTACTCTTCCAAAGCAGACTCTGCCAGTGATTCTCCAGGAGTTTCCAGAAGCCTTCAGTCTCAGACTGTTTTAGCATCATTAATCTCTCTTGGTTTGAGGCTTCAGCATCCTGGACTACACAGCTACTTGTTCTTCTACCTCTCCAGCCTGCAAATAGCCATTGTGGACTATGCAGCTTCTGGTTGAGTAAAATAATCTAATAAATCCCCTTTTTATAGTCATACCTCCTGTTGGTTTTGTTCCTGTAGAGAACCCTGACTAATGCAGGAATGGTGTTGAAAAGAGGTGGGTACTTTAAGAGCCCTTTGGGGTCCTGGTCATGGGGGAAGACCCGAAATGAATGGCTTCATATCTTTCTTGAAGAAATTGACTTTTTCTTTTGGTGGTGGTGGGGTACTGGGTATTGAATTCAGGGGTACTCAACCATTGAGCCACATCCCTAGCCCTATTTTGTGTTTTATTTAGAAACAGGGTCTCACTGAGTTGCTTAGCACCTCTTCATTGTTGAGGCTGGCTTTGAACTCATGATCCTCCTGTCTCAGCCTCTCAAGCCACTGTGATTACAGGCATGTTTCACTAACCAGGTCAGCTCCTATGTCCCTTCTCTTTTGCACATGCCTACCTACCTTTATGTTATAAAGTTTTCCCTCATTAGAACTGAGAGAATGATAGCACCATGCCCTTGGTCATCCAGAACCATAGACCAAAGTAAGCCTCTTTCCTTTATATATTAAGCAGTCTCTGTTATTCTGTTAGAGCAACAGAAAATGAATTAAATTAAGGACCTACCCAGAAGTAGAATTGCTGGATTATATGGTAATTCTATTTTTAATTTTTTGAGAAATTACCATACTGTTTTCCTTGGCCATTGCACATTTTATGTGTTCCTACATGAAGTACATGAAGGTTCCAATTTCCACATCCTTACCAACTCCTATTTTTTATTTTTTGTGGTAGTAGGGATTGAACTCAGAGGTAGTCTACATTTCCAGCCATTTTAATTTTTTTATTTTGAGACAGGGTCTCTCTCTAAGTTGCCCAGGCTGGCCTCAAACTTGTTATTCTTCTGTCTCAGCCTCTCAAGTATGCCCAGCAGACCTTAAATTTGAGGTCATCTAATTTATTTTTTTTCTCTCAATGCTATGCTTATATTTTCAGATTCATATATAAATTTATATTTTATGCATGGGGTTGGAACGAGAATCATTAAAAACTTAAAATTAGAAGTTTGTAACCTCACTTTCTTACTTTATGTTTTAATGATCCAGCAAATTTCATCTGATCTCAAACTCTTAAACTTAACAGTGCTAGAAGACTACTGCAAAATGTTCTCCTGTAACCAGTGAAATGTTCAGTTTGTAACTGAAGGGGCTGAGCTCAGTATAATCTTTGGATTTACCATGTTTGTAACTGAAAAGTAGATTATGACAGTGAAGTTTCCTCGCTCATTTTGACCAACTATGTCTGATGACCAAAGGAAAAAATATTTCACTTTCCATTTCTGAAGCAGGATCACACGTTAGGCACTTTTCATGTATTCTCTCACTTGTAAGGATATATTGCTGTGCTCATTTCCTGGATGAGGAAACTGGTTCAAAAAATTAGTTGTTTTCTTATGTTCATATGTTCACTGGTCAGTTTCTATTACTATAAAAAAAAAACTCTTTAGATAAATTAACTTAAAAATAGAAAAGATTCAGTTTGGCTCACGTGTTTTGAAGTTTCAGTTCATGGTCCATTGGCCCATAGCTTTTTTTGTTTTTCCTATTGTTTGGGGGCCTATGCTGAGGCAGCACAACATGGTGGGAGGGATGGTAGAGGAAACTGCTCACCTGATGGTGGACAGGAAGAGGCTGGTTGCCAATATCTATTTCCAGAACCTGCCTCTGGTGACCTAACTTCCTCCCACTAGGCCCCACCTAGCTCCAGAGGCCTTTGGGGAACATTGATCCAAGCCATAGTAATATGCAAATGGTGTAGAAGTGAGCTAAATTCAAATATGTATGGTCCCCAGCTTGTGCCTCCCGTTCTTGCCCTGGCACATCAGACCTTTGAGCAGAAAGACTGAGGAGCCCTTTGAGAGCATGGAGATACAAGTGAGGGTGATCACATTTCCTGAAGCCATCACTACCTCTTCATAGACCATCTGGGAATCCAGACCCTTGACTTCAAACATTCCCAAGGAGACCTGCAAAACAGTGAGTAAATAAACAGAGCCAACGCTGCTGCGGCAGGAACACCACCATGGCTACTAGGCATAAAATTGGAGCCCCTGGTTTGTTTACTCTGCAGCCTGTGCGTGGAAGCCAGAGGGCACTGAGATGCCAGGATGGTGCTCTCAAAAGTGCCTGCATCTCAGTCCTCCTACCTGCTGTCACACGCGGAACAGGAAGCCTGTGTATAACCACCAAGAAAAGCAGCTCCCTGAAGGCGGATCAGCATACTGGGGTCAGGATGCACCACACAGACACGAGATGTCTTCACTCACGCGTGTGTGTGCATTTTAAGTACCTATTAAGATCTGTCAAACTTGATCAAGTGTCTTTAATTAAGTGTCTGGGCCAGTCTGTATGCACACATATGCAACTATTCATTTCTACCCACTTGTAACTTGATAAACCTTCACTATGGAATTTCATGTGAACTTATTTATTGAAGCAAGTAAATAAAACACATGGTGAAAGAATTTTTTTTTTTAATTTTGTCCACTCCTAATTTTCCAGGAAACATTTTTTTCCTACTTTTTTACACATGAAACTTCATCTGTTCATGCAGTCAAATTAGAATTTAGAAAGTAGAGGTGGGCAAATGATCACTTAATTGTCAAGTATCCCTTGTGAAGTTTTTGTTTCAAATGCTTGGGCTAGCATTGGATACAAGGCATTGTGTCTAGCATTACTACTCTTAATTTTTAATCCTATGTGTATTTCAAGGGGAATTTAATCCATCTGGTTCTGATTCACTTACTCTTAACTCATCAAAGTGCTACAGTGTAATTGATGTTTGATGTCCAAAATGCCTGTTGGGGTTTTTAAGACTTTATGAAGATTCCTCCCCCCGCTCCCTAGCCAGACCGTTTATCCTCTCTACAGCACCAAACACAATCAAGAAGTTATATTTTATTTACCTGACATAGTTTCAAATAACCAGTAACGTGTACTTGAGCAAATGTCAAAGCTCCAGCCTGATGCAGTCATGATTTTGAAAGCAAAGCCCTTGGTAGCAGATTGCTGGAGGCTGCGTGTGCTCAGCAGTGTCTGGCTGCCCATGAGTGGAGGCCACACACTCCAGACTATCCCCTGGCATGGGGTCTGCACCCACACTGCTGTCCCAGGCACCAGAAGCTGTGATCTGAAACCTCCTTCATCTAGCACTGCGCGCACATGGCGCCACAACCTCTCCCCCACCCATGGCACACGCAGAATAAATGGGCCCCCAGACAAAGCTTTCTCATCATGTGTGTCCTCTGTGACTTCAAAACAAGTTCTTAACTCAGTCAAGCCCTGCTGGATCAGGCAGACGACCGTCTCAGCTGCTCAGCCTGTTCCAAATTCTGCAAGAAGAACATCCTGCCACTGTCTTAGGCCATGGCACTTTTTCAAAGAATGACCACAAAACGCTTAACTATCTCTTGTGACAAAAAGAAAACTCAAATAATAATAATAATAATAACAACAACAACAATAGAAGAGAGATCAGTAGACTAAAGCAAGCAGATCGGGGGAGGGAGGAAAGAAAGAGGAGAGGGAAAGGGAAGGTATTGGGAAATGAGACAGATCAAATTATGTAACGTATATGTACAAATATGGCATAATGAATTGTACTACTGTGTATAATTATGATGCACCAATTTTAAAAAATGAAAGGAAAACTCACTCTACCATTTAAAAAAAAAAAGTTGCAGAATTTTAGTACCAAGAGTGGTCTTTAAGATCATGTGATCTTTAAAATGTTCATTATCCAGGCATCTGCAATATTAAACTGTTCATTTTTATTTCTGAGTTTGTTCTTTGTTTTAAATGTTTGGCAACATGTGGTCATGGCCTTAGTTGGCTTCTCTACTCATTAGTCACTTAATAAACGTTTACTGACCACCTACATTGTGTCAAACACTGTAAGGCCCTGAGGGTTTTGGTGGGGAAACAGCCTGGCAAGAGCTTCTCATGCAGCCTGGCAAGAGCTTCTCATGCAGTCTCCGCCCAGTGAGCGCTGACAGCCCAGAGACCTTGGTCCTGCTGATGCTGGGCCTTTCTGAACCAATATCTTGACACATACATGGGACCAATGCAGACAGAGGTAAAGAATTGCCTGCTCATCCATCACAAGAAAAAGTCTAAATTCTAAGTCATTCTTTACTTCCAATATTAAAGATCAAATGCATGACCATTTATATGAACTCTTGTACTCCAAATTTCACTGTGCAATGTTACATCATAACCCTCAACAGGTTGAAGATTTTACTAGCGCTCCTAGTTCTGAATGTAAAGAAGAAATTCTTAGAAGTGAGGAGGTTACTGCGCCAACTTTTCCCATGTAATAACTAGTAATACTTCAATGAATTTAAAGAAATTGAAAGTCTCTCCTTTTGAACTGACTTTTGCTAGTGTTTCCATCTCCCTTAACAAGCATGTTTTAGATCATAAAGGGAAAGTTTTCAGGCTGTGGAATCATCTTCTATTGACATCACCTGAATTTTTAGGACCTCAAATAGGAGTCATATTGGGAAAAAAATGAGCCGAGCCCAAATCAGGAAGTCTGGGGGCTTACCCTGCCAGGACATAGGCTCCCTAATGGGTGCAACAGAGGGCACTGCCTGCCTTTCCTTCTCCACTGAATTTAAGCAGATGCAGTTAGGCACAGTTCGAGGGAGTGTGTGGAAATATAAGTATTTGTGTTGGTGTGTGGTTGTCAGGCCTAAGTCAGGCAGTAATTTCTATGGGAGCACAAGATAGGCACTAAATTTTGCACTCCCCCTCCAAATGGTACACAAACCTCTTAATCTGTCTTCCTGCAGGAGGGCTCCCCTGGCACTGCCCAGTCTGAATTGGGGGCCAGCCTTTCCCTGGAGCCCCTTCCCGTGAATTACAGTCTGTGGCATGGGGGCTGAATAGAAAACAGTCTCCTGAAATTCAACTGGAAGGTCTGACCGGAATTCAGCCTAATGTGGAGAATGGCAGGAAGCCTTCTATTATTCTGCTTCATTCTATCTGCTGTGAGGCAGTGCGGCGCCTGGAGTCTGACTGAGCTTAACTCATTTCCCTGGATTTCCGAGTCACAGCCACAGTGCCTGCTAAAGCCAAATATCTCACTCCTGAGACTCACTACACTTCCTGATATAGGATGCACTTGCTTGTCTCCTGTTGACCTTAAACACTAATAAAGGAATCATAATATGACCTAGACGAGACCCAGGAGCCAATCAGAATGCAAATGATTGATGGGAGTGCTTTCAGCTCTCTACTGTTTGCCCTGACATTTTGGTGTAGTTCTTTTATTATGATTGTGTGGGTAAGAGACCTAAAAATACATGACAGCCATCACTCTCCACAGGGTAGAAGGTTAATCCTAAGGTGTGGCAAAAAGAAACTCTTTGTTAGAGTCACACGCACATACTGTAGCTTTCGCTCTCCCTTCTGTCTTGCTGAAGGAGTGACAATGGTGCATTGGAAACAGTTCTCAAATGGGAACCGTCTCTGATTCTGGGAATGGGAGTGAGGGGAGCAGTTTCTCTCATTTGCATGGCTGACTACTTGATCTGCTCTGCTTCCCTCGCTCAAATGTTATCCAGTGATTGGTGTTTCATCAGGAAGGTCATGAATTCAGTCTTCTCCTTTTTTTCTTTTGTTTCTTAGAAAATATGATAAACATTTGATCTGCTACATGATGTGGATCTACGATTTAAATACCTTCTCAAATTATGACAAAAGACTGGGGAGACTGGAGTCATCTCTTATGTTGGCTTGTTGTCACATTTCAAGTGTCCTTAAGCTCAAATTTCTCTGTTTTGGGAAAGGCATTTATTTTTATTTCCACTATGTCTTTTCCTATATATTTAATACATTTAGATTCAGATAGTCATTTTTTATCAAGCTGGACAGAGTGGTAGGCTGCCCAAATATTAGTTGCCCTTTTGTTTTTGGAAAGTGTCCATTAAGTAGACAACACACAAGTAGTGTTTGTGTAATCCACCCTGGAAGGTTGAGTCTGCCATCCTTGGTGAGCAATGGCCTAAGGTGACCAGGAATGGTCATCCTCCATGAGCTAAGGTAACTGAGGTCAGATTCCTCTATCCACTCCATCTGTGTTCTGGTCAGATGGCAGCTCCCAGCAGGTGAGAGATACGCCGCAAAAATCCCTGGCTTCTTCTGTTAGCTTGTCATGATTCCACAACCTATTGAGTCCTTCCTTTTCCTATTTATAAATATATCCTCTAACATATTTTGGAGTAACAAGTTTCCAATCTTAATATATATTATTGTGCAAGTTTTTCTACTTTTCTTCTTATCATAATCACTTTTCATTTTAAGATGTACAACTATATTCAATAATTTTATGAATATGCTATTCTAAAAGTTTCTGAGATCTTTTATATGTGTGTGTGTGTGTGTGTGTGTGAGAGAGAGAGAGAGAGAGAGAGAGAAGTTTCTGATATATATCACATATATTTTTCTTTAATACTTCCATTTCCTTTTTTTTCCTTTGAACACTGGTGTGATTAACCACTGAGCCATATTCCCAGCCCCTTTTTTAAAAATTTACATTTTAAGACAGGATCTTGTTAAGTTGCTTAGGGCCTCGCTGAGGCTGGCTTTGAACTTGCAGTCCTCCTGCCATAGCCTCCCAAACTTTGCTGGAAGTATATGCATGTACCATCCCGCCCAGCTAATATTTTCAAGTCTATGATGGAAAATTGTATCATTTCTTTTCAGTCTATTTTATTAGATTCAGATTTAACTAACATTTTTAATTACACTATTAGCTGGGTACTGTGTTGTAGTCTTTCTTACATCATCAATGTACTTAACATTTATTGAGTTTACAACATGCCAGAAATTGCTTAAATGCTTTTTGTCAATTTTCTAATTTAATTATTACAATCATTCTACATAGAGATTTATCTTGATCCTTACTATACAGATGACAAGGCTAAGGTGAAGAGAATTTAAGTGTCTTGTTTAAGGTCAAAGATCAGGAACCAAGATTCACATCCAGATGCTTACTGATACAAGCATCCTCTATCCCTTTTAACTGTTTGTATAAATCCAAAGAAAACTAGTTTTAATTCTAGTAGGTGCTTGCCTCATCTAATTAATTCTTAGAACTGTTTATTTCAAACGTGTAATTCATATAAATTTTGTAAAGTAAATTTCTGAATTATTCTTCTACCTATTGTAGATTGATACTGACAGAGAGAAGCTAACCCAATGCAGTATCTGAGAAGAATGCAGAGTCATTATAGGTGAGCAAACATACTCTCCAAGACAAACATATTTTAATTCTCATCAGCAAGAAAGTTAGAAATGATTAATACACAGCTATGGTTTGTACCTCTGGAGCTTATTTTAATTGATTTGCTGTGTTTGGTTACTCAGTTTGGTTGTGAAAATGTTAAGAAATATTAGTGGTCATCTAGAAAAAGAAAATTCTCCATTATGTTCTGGAGCAAGAAACAAAAGTCTTTTAAAGTCATTTAAATATGTGCATGCTCAAAGAGCTATTCTTTCACTTCCCTTTAAATTCATGCCCATTTTCTTAATCCTTACTTCCAAAGACTTATTTTCCATCTTCTTAATCACCTTTGAAGACCCTCCAAGTTCTGTTTCTCTCAAGTTATGAAGACCAAAAACAGTCACAATTTACCAACACTCAGTAAAACAGGGAAGCTGTGTGAAGGTCTTTACACTCTCTTCTTGTATTCTAAAATTTCTCATATTATGTTTTCAATCAAACACCACATTATAACACATTGCTTCTGCTTATTTACCACAAAAACAATCTCCAGTTTTTGGTTATTGGTACTTTTAGTTATTGTTTTGTTTGCACTTCCAAATTAAAATTTACAAATGTGTGATTTAGTTTTCATCTTGAGTAAACTACCTGACTTTTCCACTTAATTTCAAGCCTAGGGAGGTTTTGTTTTGATGTGCCACTCAATTTAGAGGCATCTGCATACTTGGTGTTTGCTCTGCTACCCTATTTACAACTTTCACCTTAGCCAGGTATGGTAGTGCATGCCTGTAATCCATCAGTTTAGGAGGCTGAGGCAAGAGAATCATGACTTCAAAGTCAGCCTCAGCAACTTAGTGAGACCCTGTCTCTAAAAGTACCAAAAAAAAAAAAAAAAGGCTGGGGATGTGGCTCAGTGGTTAAGTGTCCCTGGGTTTAATCCCTGGTACCAAAAAATAAAATAAAATAAATAAATAAAACTTCCACTTTAAACATAATCTCAGCATCATACCTATAGAATAAAACATTTCCACAGGATGCCACAGCAACTCAGTATTCCCCTCTGAATTCATAGCCTAGTATACCTTTGTACTGTACTAACTCTAAATTCTTAGTCCAATCTTCAAATGCAGCTGAACAGATTTCCAAGTGGAAATAATATCATTTGTAAAGCAAAGCACCACTTGTTATTAAAATTAAGAAGCTCCTAACATAAATTTGATGTCATTTGTAGATGAGAAAACTGGGCTTGATGAAGTTGGTTTCTTCAATGATGCAACCAGCCCTGCTTCAATTCCTCTCTGGAGGGAGGAAGACTCAAAATTTCAGAAACACACAACTCCATTCCCATAGGGTAAGTGTACAGGGGAAGAGAGAGAGTGAACTGTGGCTTCCTGCAGGGCTGCTTTCTGCTGTAGCATCAGCAACACTTACCCTTGAATCTCCAAGAGCTTGTCTTCTTCCAACAGGCTGACTCAGATGAGTCTAGCCTTGTTTATCTATTTTTAAAAGTACACATCAGGAAGAATGCCATAATGTCTCTTATAAAAATGTCACCAAAATGCTTCTTGGTGATTTCTCAGCAAGTATTTAATGGCCAGATTTAATTTTTCACTGTCATTTTACCAGATTGTTATTGAAGCTAAATATTTAGCCACTATTGCATGCATTGATAATTAACAATCAACAAACTGACTAATGAATTATATTGATGAACTATTAAACCATGATATAGTATAATAATAATACAGTCTGACTGGAAAAATTACTTTAAGGAAAACATCTCTTATGGGTTTTTAACCATTCACACATAATGAAATAAAATATGTGTGTTTGATTTTCCAATTATGTTACCGAAGCCAAAATAGGATCTTGTCAGTTTTAGATTTGGCAAATGCTTGGTTTCTGATGCATTTGTTTCAGACTGTGGTTGTTGGATGAAAAGAGTACAATTTTTTGCAGGTAGCAAGGGGTATAACTAATTTTCATTATTCTCAAAGTTCAATCACAGGAAAAAGAGTTCTATATTTCTCCAGAAAAATCTAAGATGCTTGATTGTAAAGAAGCCTCTGAGATTATCTATGTCAGTATGCTCTAAGGAACCTGAAGAATTCTTTAGGGACACCTAAGGACCTGGGCAGGGGAAGAGTCCCAGCAGGTTGGATGGAGGAGGAGGGAGATGGTTTGTGCTGCCCTGAGGCATTCAACTCTGAGTTGAGCGGCTTCACCTTAAACCATTTTACTATTTGCACTTCATGCAAGGCTTCATTTGAAGAAAGACCCATGCATTATCAATAATGCTTATAATATCACTAATAAAAAAAGGACTTAAAATCATATGCCAAAATTTGTAAGCAAGGTAACTGAGTTTCAGAAAGAATAAACACTTTATTCAAGGTGAGACAGTGAGTAAAAATTTGGTTGAATTCACTGGGTGCCTTGGCACACACTTGTAATCCCAGTGACTCCGGAGGCAGAGGCAGGAGGATTTCGAGTTCAAAGACAGCCTCAGCAATTTATAGAGGCCCTAGGCAACTCAGTGAGACCCTCTCTCTAAACAGACATAAACAAAATACAAAAAAAAGGTTGGGGGTATGGCTCAGTGGGTAAGTGCCCCCTGGGTTCAATCACTGGTACCCCCCCAAAGAGGGATTTTTTTTGGTTGAATTAATGATTCCCCCCCATCAAAAGGCTATAATCAACTTAATATTTATCAAAATCCTACTAAGGGTACGGCATTGTGCTAGTCCTCTGAGGAATAAATAAAATAAGTCCTAGCCCTAGGATAGAAGCCTAATATAACTTCTAAAGGAGAGAAAAAACAAAAGTGGGAAAAAGAACTACTGAAGATCATCCCATCTGACCTACTTGTTTTAGAATTTAGCAGTTTTCTCAAAGTCACCCTTCAAGTAAATGGCAGAATCAGAACATGCATCTGAACCTTCTTACTCCAAACATAATGCCCTCGTTGCTACATCAGTATACCAGATTGATTCATGAACACCTAATCTCTACGATGATCTTTCACTTGAAAAAAATCTAATTGCATACTTGCATATTAAAGGTTCTAAGAAGTCTTACAGTAAAGAAAATTGCCTGGTCACTTCCGTAAATTATTACCATGGACTACAATCCATGCCATGTACATTCATATCCCAAAGAACACAGTTTGAGAAATTCTATACTATACCTCTCCTCCCCTAGATGTTAACTAGATTTGAAACTGGGATCTAGTAGAATCTTCTTTTAGAAATTCTATTTCCACACTTTGCATATAATTGTGGCTTGAGAAATGTGATCTCAGTAATAAGTGTTAGACCTGATACACTCTTTATAAACCCATACTGTTTTTGAATGTTATAGAAAATATTAAATTCATATATCAAAATGAATAAAATGCAAATATACCAAATATTAACAATATATTATTTAGTTTTAAAATCAGTTCACACCTGCTCAATATTTGTCATGAAATTTTCAATGTATATTTGTATTCCCCCTAAATATAATGCATGCATTATAATTCATTTGAAATGTTGGATTAAATTTCGTAGAATTATTTGGTGAATACCTTTTTGCTCAATTTTCAAAGATAAATAGCTTTACTGCAAAGGGAAAATCAATTTGCTTTCTTCTAAAACATATATATCTTGGTACATTTTGGTTTGCTCAGAATGCTAAAAATAAAAGTCATAAGTAGTGAATTCCCTCCCTCTCAACAAAACAAAAAAAAAAAAAAGAAAGAAAGAAACATTTCAGGTAAGTCAAACTAAAATAATACCACAAAACTTGGGAGAGAACCTGTCCTTGCAAGATTTGCAGACCAATTTTTCAAGATCAAAAGTGTTTATATAAGCTTACAAAAATTTTGGATCTTTTCCCAGACTAAATCTCTAACACTTCTGAGGCTGGCCCATCACTAATATTTACAATATCTTTGACATATCATGAGTTGGACTCATAGGCCTTTCTGATAGGCAGGCTTCCTAATATGATGGGGTGCTGGAATAGTTCATTGTGTGAGAGGCAGTCAGATGATACTGGCACTTTGCAACAGGAAGGAAATGATTGGTAGGTGCCCTGAGCCTGTTGTATCTTGTCAGTTTTGTCAGTTGGGAAATGTCCTTGGGGACCCATTAGTACATAGACAGCCATGTGGCCCACCTGAGGTACACTCCTTGCCAACTTATTTGAGCTCTCTGTTTAGGTAGTGTTCCTTTCTGTAGTATTACATTTCCTTATAGAAAATGTTTAGAAACAGGCTCTCAAAATATGCTATTTCTCTTAACCCTTTATAATAACAGTTAGCATAGTGCCTTACACTTAAAATAAGACTTAAAATTAAAAGTTAAAATAAGACTTTTCAACAAATTCATGCTGCTACCAAATTGGTAGATGTAAAATAAACTTTGAGCTCTCTGGTAACATATCCCTGTAATGATCCTTCTATCTACTGTGACTTATTTTATTCCCAAATCTTTTCATTTATAACAATGCTTCTCGTGATTGCATAATTATTACAACTTTATTGTCAAGGACAGAGATAAAATAAAGTCAGAGGAGATTTTTTACCCACCAAATTAAGATTCTTCTCACAAATCTGTATTGTTACTTGGCCCTGTTTAAGAGATCCATTTCCCTGGACTAGGAGGGCTCATACCTAGAACATTCATGCTTAAACGTCTCCTGTATTAGAAGTATTTTCTGGGGTCAGGTATAACTGTGTTAGGTACAACAAAGATGGATGAGATGTGGACCCTGTTCTCAGAGAGCTTTATTCTAATTGTGGAATCAAGAGAAGCACATTAACAGCTGGTACCACTTACCAGTCACCAGTGAGTGGTATTAGCACAATTATAGGAGAGCGGTTCAGATGTTCACATAGAACAAAAAGGAGAAGAAGAGGGGGAGGAGGAAGAAGGAGATGGTAGGAGGAGCAAAGAGACTGATAACTATCTGTTTTATATCCCTTTAGAGAATGTGAGATATAAACAAATACACTATCTTCATTCAACATGCTACCCTTTTAAAGCCAAAATAAGACTCGACTCCTGTTCCCCCACATCTTCCAGCTCTGACCATTCTTCCTGAGACTAGTGAGTCTTCTTCTCGATCATCCTCAGTGTCCAAGGCTTACCTTTTTATTTTGCTACCCTGCCCTGGCCTAGTTCTTTATGGAATTTAATCATTCACTTCCGAGAGTTCTGTAGCATAATAAGCAAGACACCAATTTTAAAGTATAATAGCAGCAGTGAGCACACCCATGATGATGACTCCAGTTGGGGTTCTCTTCCCCAAATGGCTCCATGTTCATTAATGTGACTGGTTAACTTATAATTTGCAGTCATATGTTGGGCTGGGGATGTGGCTCAAGCGGTGGCTCAAGCGGTAGCGCGCGCTCGCCTGGCATGCATGCAGCCCGGGTTCGATCCTCAGCACCACATACAAACAAAGATGTTGTGCCCACCAAAAACTAAAAAATAAATATTAAAAATTCTCTCTCTCTCTTACAAAAAATAATTTGCAGTCATATGACATGGCCTTAAGCAATTTTTAAGGCAGCTCCCAGGTGACCTGGGAGCAACTCTTAACAATAAAATATTTAAGAAGGCAGGCAAGAGCTGCCCTGTCAGAATATGTCCGGCACAGCAAGGCCTCCAGTTGAAGGAATTCATTGCAAGTGGCTGCCTAACTGCCATGGTGATAGAAATTTAACCCAAGTGTTTTCAGGTAACTGCCAGCCCTGGGCCTGGCTGCCTTCCACGGGCCCCACAGCGCACAGCCCTATGCAAAGCGGGTGTTTTATAGCAAGTAATAGCAACACAGCTGTTTGCATTAGAACTTAACCCAGGTATGCCAGACAGCTGTGCCAAAGCAAGTCTTACCATTAATTCAAAAGCTACCCACAGAAGAACACCATTTGGACCTGACCGTTGGCTTCAGTTCCTTGTCAAGATCTAGTTATTTAATTCAATTTAATGAAATGTTTTGAGTACCAATTTGACACTTTAAAATAAGGAAGGTGCAGGCGCTAACCCAGAGACAGAGATGCCACCCATACCCCTAAACAACTCAAACAACTCTCTAGACACACACACACACACACACACACACACACACACACACACACACATATATATATATATATATATATATATATATACAAATGTGATAATTCAATGAAAGGTGCAAAAATGAAAAAAAATATGAGCTAAATGATGATACTAAAAAGAGAATGGTTACTTTTGACTAGAGGAGTCAGGAATGACTTACCAAAGGTGACAGTATTTGAATTGGACTGTGTACGGTACATAGAAACTCTCAAAGCACAAAAGAGACAGAAACAGCCCAATA